TCAAATACAGTTTTCGCGTTTCCTAATGCAAGTTCACTTTTCACGTGGTTCTCGGCGACCATGAGGTGACTTTGTTGGCGAATAGCAGACGTTAGTACTATCCACCTACTGCGAAATCTCTTCCTCACAGAGCTTCTATCCGGTAATCGTCAACGGCACGTGAGGAATACCCTGTCGATTGAAATATTTTCAAAAAGTGTGCAAGTTCAAACCAAATGATACGAAATGGGTGCAACCTTAGGATTTTGGGTTTACTTTATCCAAGATATTGTAATTGATCCGTATGATACTATTGTGTATCCCATCTTGTAATGTGATTGATACAAGTGACTTCATAAACATCGGTGATTTGTTTGTTGGTTAACGTTTGTGCGCTGCACATCTCATACGTATATAATTGTTCGGATTCTAAAAACTTGAACACCCCGGAAATTGTTCAAAGGAATTTAACCTCAGTGCAGCACTAAAACAGAAGAAAAGGTTTCCTTTGTCATAGTCGCTCACAATGTTTGTACCAGGACTTATAACAAATGCAATTTGATTGCAAAGAAGACGACAAAACGGATCGAGAAATCAAGAACAGAAACAATATTACTATACGGTAACGATGCTTCGGAAATCACAGTTCGGATTACTGAAATGCTGCGAAGTCCAATCTAAGAGACGTTTAATGCAACCAATTCAAAGTCAAACCGAAGGGTAATATACGAGCATGTACACACAAAACTAATAACGGAAAATAAATACAATACTGTAGTAAAAAAAATGTTATTGCAAGTGCCTTTCTCTAAGATGGGTGATTATCGTATTTCAATTTACCCGAATTTAAGCCAGACAGGGAAATACACTGTTCTTGTATGTAGAAGTAGGTGCAGGAAGGAGTTGATATTTGTTACGAGTTCGGCGATTTAGCTAGTCTTTCACGATTTTGGGATGCAGAAAGGGCCCGTGATCACATCTTATCCTGTCAATAAACGTATTACACGCTTCAAAACCCCCTTAAAATAAAACCTCAACCAGAACAACTTGCAATTGCACTCTATCAGAATCGAGGAACTAGGGTGAGATCTTTTTTAATTGAAAATTGGAAGCAGTATAATCATTCTGCAAGGATGCAGTCAATTATGAATTAAAGAAAAAGATTACCTGAAATGGTCAGTCTCCTGAGTTGGAACGACGACAGATACTGGTGTACAAAGGTCTGGGTATCAGAATGCACAAAATTACTGGATGAATTCGGTGGTCACCGTAGATTGTTTATAACCTTTGGGGTCTATTCATACCGTTATTGACCGAAGAAAACGACGACAGATCTCTGATCTGGGTGTAAGCCGGTTTCGTTTAAAATCGGGCGGGAAATGCATCGAATTTGAGGTTGGACATGAACGTGCGACAAGTAAAGCAACTATTACAAACTTCTGTCAATCCACCATTTTGAACGGTGAAATCAGAATAATAGTCAAATGAAGTTTAACTTGGACTATTCTGATGGTCCCATGTATTACTGGCATGATCGAAAGATTGCCCGTTGCGACCTGCCACCACGCACGTACGCGTGTATCGATCGATCGGCCTCAACGAATGCAAAGTCAGTATCGACCTGTCCGTATTGATTGGTTCGTTGACTGCTCAGCGTGGCCACATTCTCCTTTCAGTAATGCCTGTGCCAGTTTGGCCTACTGACCTGCGTGTTGATGCAATGCTTGTTCACTGGCCTACAGACCGATTGCGTTTAGATCTACTTACTGGAAACAGAACCACTTAATTCACCGCTTTCGTACATCTTGGCTTCTATGGGATACAACGGTTACCGAGCGTATTGCGTCGACTGATCGCAATCATCCAATAAAACCTGGAAGAAAAACCCGTTTTGATGCCTGAACCTGGGGTGATAAAACCTTTTTAAAATTTTCGGTGCACCGAATGGTCCTGTTTTATTCTCGTGACAATTGAGTCCACTTTATACTTAATTAACAAGAATGATTATAAGACATTGTGAGTTGCGTGCACATCATTTAACCTTGTCAAGTTTAGAGGTGAAGAGTAGCAGTTGATATTAAATGCATTGTACAGAATGAACTGTAGAAAAAGGTTAAAACCAAGTGACTGGTGTGAAAGAAGGCAAATAAATTGCGTTGATTCCTGGTGCGCGCCGAGGAGAGAAGATTCAAATTTGAACACCTAAACTTTGTTACACATCAGCAGCTTCGAGTTTCGGTTGCGAAGCCCGACTTGTTCTTAAATCTATTCTCTTTATATATAATATCGCTACCCAAGTAGGGAATTCTTTCGAATTCGTCGTATGCAAAAGTAATAATTTGCCCGTATTTTATTATCATTTATCTTCTGGGACCGGAGATTTTAAATGTTCTGAACGATTATTTCTCTCGCCAGACCCAACTAACCCTATGAGTAGAGTCCTTTTCTTAAAACATTGATTTTAGCGCATTTCAGATTGCTATTCTGCTCTCACTCTTTTGTGTGCACAAAACCTCATTCCTCGAGACTTTATAG